GCAGACTAGAACGTTTAGGATTACAAGGAAAACTGGTTCTTTTCACATATGATTATCCTGGTGATGTAGCATTCCCCTTTAAATTGAAAGTCCTTCAATATCAAAGAGAACCCGTGTTTCAATAAGCAACCACCAATGACAGCACAAGAAAACCACTGCAAATCCTAATGCCTTCGCCTTGATTTAATGTGTGTTTACCTTTAGAGGATTCCTTTAGAAAAGTGTCTCTAACTGATTGGAGTTCAGGAATTCCTCCATTTTTGTTTCTGTCTTATTGTCTTCAGTTAAGTTTATGCACTATTAAATGAAATATTAGTAAAATAAAAATAGAGTCTAAGCTCAATTTTACAAAAACATATTTATATATGGCCTTCTTTATTGATTTTCTTCTGCGGGGGTGGGCAGGGGGCAGTCTAGCTAAAACATACATTCTTCTCTCTGTAGATACAGCAGAAGAACACGACTCCATCAGCGTTGCCCCAATGTTAACAAAAGTGATTTTGAACTTAAGGTGATCAGAAATCTTATATATCTGTACTTTTTCTGTACTGTTGGTATGTCTATGCTAAGCATGTATGATTTTTAAAAAGTAACTTTAAATGGTTTGGAATAAAAGTATGTACATGTGCGAATAGTACTTAATTCCAGGTAGTGGAAATATGGATGACTGGTTATTTTTGTCTTTCTGTATCTTATATTTTTAAATGGAAAATCTCAATGACCTGGAAGTGAACGAACAGATTAGACATGAAAGGGGTGTGGGGCAGGTGAGAGGAACATGTGAAGGGAGGACAAACCCGGTTCTGGCAGGAATCGTGTTTAAGTTGAAGGTTTCTGGGGAGCAGTTGTTGGGAGAGAAGGATATGGGGGGACAGGAGAATCATGAAAATATTTAGGACAGTGTACTGCCTGTCATCATTTTTCCTCCTTTTGCATTTCTTCAAAAGAAATACACGGACTTACATTTCTTTTCAAGCATATGTACCATTTGTGTTTTTCTTTTATTAATGAAACTGGTGGGTTTATCTTGCTGGTTGCCCAGAAAAGTCAATGGAGCTGAGAACAGCAGGCTTCCTGCAATAGGGAAAGGATCTAATGCATGCAGAGCCAGCCAAGCAACAGGACAGAGGTTCATTATTAATCCAGTCTGTCCCCCTCACACCCCCACCCCCACCGCAAATTCAGAGACTAGGGTTTTTTAAAGAATAGTTTGGCAGGCAGAGGGCTAGGGAATGGGGAAAGCCAATTGGTTGGGTTGGGGGTGAAGTCACAGGGAGTTGGAGCTTGTCTTCTTGCCCTGAGTCAGTCCCTGGGTGGTGGCCACAGGACCAGATGAGCCAGTTCACCTGTCTGGGTAGCACCAGCTAGTTCATCATAAGGCAGGGTCTGAAAAATACCTTGAATGCCAATCTTAGTTTTATATGAATGATGTTATTTATAGGCACAAATGGGGAGCTTAGGAATCTTGTGGCTTCTGGCTGCATGGCTCCTGAGCCGTAATGTTCAATCTTATGTCTAATTTGTTAGCTTTGCTAAGGAGCTCTGATGCCCAAGAAAGGAAGGAGTTTGTCTCAGGAAGGGGCTGTTACCATCTTTGTTTCAGACTTAGACTTGGAAGTAAATTTCTCCCATATTTGGCCTGGCCTATGCCCAGGAATAGCCAAGGGCAGGTTGAAGGTTAGAAGCAAGGTGCAGTGCTCAGGGTCACTTAGCCGGGGAAGGAGGGTTTGAAAGTAGGAATCTGAACTGAAGGCAGCCTGGCTCCAGAAGGCATTCTCAGAACCACTGCGTTTATACTGCTCCTGATGAAAGTGCCCTTGCAAAAACTACGACAGTGAGAAAAACCTGACAAAGGAAAAGTATAACTGTCAAAGAAATCTGACCTGTGTGACCCTGAGCAGGTTACTTAACATCTCTGCATCCCAGTCCTCTCATGTGGAAGATGAAGATGATGGTGCAGCCTTGGCCTGTAAGGACTAAACAATCACACGCACTCATCCGCTGTGCCTGCCATGTGGCACTTTGCAGATCAGGCACAGTCGGGAGGTGTGGATCTATTACTCCTTTGCATGTTAGCTCTTGTAGTTTCCTGCAGCAGTGCAAAGAGCAGACGTGGCCAGGTACAGGCGCTCATGCCTGTAATCCCAGCACTTTGAAAGGCTGAGGTGGGCAGAAAACCTGAGGTCAGGAGTCCGAGACTAGCCTGGCCATCACGGCGAAACTCCGTCTCTACTAAAAATACAAAAATTAGCTCCCCATTGTGGTGCATCTGTAATCCCAGTGACTCGGGAGACTGAGGCAGAAGAATCACTTGAACCGAGGAGGCAGAGGTTGCAGTGAGCTGTGATTGCACCACTATCACTATACCCTGGGTGATAGAGCGAGTCTCATCTCCAAGAAAACAAATAGAAAGAGCAGATGTGATGAAAACCGGCTGTGTTGAAGTCACAGCAGTGATACTTTCCAGTGGCCGTGCACCCTCCCAGGGAGACTGCGGCAATCCTCTCACCAGCAGTGATCTCCTGGGGGGAGGTCCCAGGAAGTCCCTCAATCTTCAGCAGGTTTGACCCTCAAGGAGCTTCAGGGAATGAGCTATAGAAGTGTTTCTCTGGCTGTCCACGGTGGCTCATGCCTATAATCCCAGCACTTTGAGAGGCCAAAGTGGGAGGATCACCTGAGGTCAGGAGTTCAACACCAGCCTGACCAACATGGAGAAACCCCGTCTCTACTAAAAATACGAAATTAGCTGGGCATGGTGGTGCATGCCTGTAATCCCAGCTACCTTGGAGGCTGAGGCAGGAGAATCACTTGAACCCGGGAGGTGGAGGTTATGGTGAGCCAAGATCACACCATTGCCCTTTAGCCTGGGCAACAAGTGAAACTTGGTCTCAAAAAACAAAACAAAACCAAACCCTATTTCTCTCTGGGAGGAACTGGGACTTTATTAGCTCATCTAAAGGAAATCAGTGATTCGATTTCTTGCATCAAATCAGCCTCAATAAAATTTTTATAGTTTTAAAGTGGAAGACATTTGTGCCCGCAGGGGAGGAAATATGATTTTTCCTCGCCCAGCCTAGGTTCACTGCTGAGACCCTTACAGCAAAAGACAGACTAACAAGAGAAGAGCATACTTAGTTATTTAATGTCAGTTTCACATGACTGGAGCGCCTTCCAAAGGAAATGAAGGCCCATGGAAACAGCTAAGCCTCAGGGTTTTTTTTCTTTAACAGTAGTTTAGATAAAGAGTGGATAGTCATAGAGAAGTGTGAAGGAATGAAAAGAGTACGATGTGGGGAACCCCCTGTAGAGGTACTGAGGAAGGAGAGCTAAGCAGAATCCTGGCACAATTAAGGCCTGGAGAATATCTCAGTTTACAGAAATAGGGCTTGGAGAATATCTCAGTTTATAGTGTTACTGCTCAGTTATTTCCCTTTGTACAATCCTCTCTATATAATCATATATTAGTTCATAGAATGAGTGCCTAAAGAATATCCTACCATTCAGTTATTTCCATATATATAAAATGATATCTTAGTTTATAATCAGAGGAATGCCTAGAGTGGACAGAGTACAGAGCATGAATTAAGGAATAAGCAGCTTATAATCGGAGGAATGCCTAGAGCAGACACAGTGCACAGCATGATTTAAGGGAAGAGCAGTTACACCAGGACAAGAATCCATGGCCCAGGGGGCAGCGTTCAGTATCGTAAAGATACCCGCTGTATGGGAGGCTTGGGGCGAGAGCCACTCCTCCTGATAAGGAGTTGTAGGACCTTGCTCCAGTTCTTGTGGGAGGCTGCCCTCAGACCAGCAATCGCACCTTGGCGACTGTGAACTTTACCAGCTCTTGTTACTGTGCTGCTTGAAAAGCATTCCCCTATAGAACTCATTGGAAGCTGCCACCAGGTGGTGTAGACCCTGACAGCTCTGTCACTGCTGTGTGACTTAAAGCATCCTCCTTTAAATCTTCTTAGTAGCTTGCCCATACATAGAGGTATTGCACACTGCACCCTCTTCACTGCGCACGGCCCACCTCCATGCCTCGGTGACCTAATGGGATGGACTCCATACTGCACATGGCCCTTGCCTCGATGACCTAATGGGAATGGACTCCCTGCTGTGCACTGTCCATCTCCCAGCCTAGGTGACCGAATAGGGGTGGACCCCTAGTTTTATTGCTCACGACCCTATCACTATCCTTAAAGATGACGTCACTCACTGCCCTGCCCCCTAACCTATACACAATAAATACTCACACTTCTGGACATTCGGGGCCTCAATGCCTGACTCCACTCATAGGTGGCGTGGCTCCCCGAGCCCAGCTGCATTTTCCTTGTACTTCTGTGTCCTGTGTCTTTATTTCTTGGATCCTGTGCCTCAGCACAGCATAAGGGACAATCCATGACCCTGTGGGCCATCACCCCCACAGTACCATCTAATGGTAATAAGCTGGGGGAAACATAGCCAGGCCTATACATTCAGACTCTTCTCTGTGTCCCTGTACCTTCAGACACAGCGATGCACATTTCCTCTGGGTACAGAGAGGGCACCTCTCACATGAGAGCCTTATGATTGGCTTCCGGGACGAAGGGCAGGGGGAGGTGACAGTGGCCTTCCTGCTTCTGTTGTTTTCTCAAATCCCTTTAGTATAAAATGTTTAAGAGCTCAAGGTGTTATATTTTGGAGTAGCGTGTCTGGAACCCCATCATTCACATGCTACAAAACCCAGAATCTTTGAGAAGTGATACATATGACTGTAAAATATTTAAATGCAAAATACAAATGATGGCTGGGCACGCAGGCCAGCACTTAATCCCAGCACTTTGGGAGGCCCAGGCAGGCAGATCACTTGAGTCCAGGAGTTCGAGACCAGCCTGGCCAACATGGCAAAACCCCCATCACTATAAAATACACAAGAATTAGCTGGACACCGTGTTGTATACCTGTGATCCCAGCTGCTTGAGGAGGGTGGGCTGAGGATCAACTTAAACAACATCATGTGTAAAAACAAACGTTTTATTTTTTCCTTTAAGTTTAGACAAGTGAAGCAGTGGGAGTGGGGAAGGAACAAAGAAATCTGTAAGGAATTGTGATCAGTTGCTTGTAAACACGAGTGATCTGCATGCACTATACACTGTTATGAAGGTCTCACACGCTGCAAAGCTGGTGGTGAACAGCAGCAGTGACGGCAGCGTCCTGGCCCCGCCCGCACTTCTCTCTAGGGATAGCAACTTTCAATGCACCTGCTCCTCTTTCACTGTGCAATTTTCCATCCCAGGCCCTTCAGTCCAGCCTGCAAGGGGAAACAGCGTGTGTGTGTGTTTTCCTTCCTCCCGGTCCACTCCAAGGAGCCAACAAGGCACCTCTCTCCCACCCCACACCTCACCTCCCCACATCCTCCAAACTGACTGCCTCAAAGACTTCGGTGTTTTTCAGTCCTTTGTAACTGCTGAAAATTCTCATATTTTCAAAATATGAAAATCAGAGCGATGGTCCTGAGCGCCTGGAGGGACATCTTAGCGCGCTCTCAACGCCCACCATGAGCCTCATCCGAAGTGTTCTACTGCTCAGAAGAAAACATTTTTGCATCTGTCTGGTCCTAAGGCGTCCTCTTCTCCTTGGGGCTGGGGTCCTGGCCGGTCGAGGGGGAGCCCGGCGTCTGACACTCATCCCTCTGGGCTGCTCAGCCTCCTCTTCCCTGTGGCCCTGCGGGAGCTCCCTCCAGGCTGCGGAGGATCAGGACCAGGGCTTCCAGTCCGCGAGCTTAAGAGGCCGCTGCGCGGATTTCTCTTTCCAGCTGAGATCCTGGGACCAAAGAATGAGATTTCCAGACTCAGCTTCCAAAGCTTAGTGAAACAGCGACAAAGAGCCCGCAATAGAGACGTGGGAGCTAGAAATTCGGCAAAAAAAATCTAAATATGAAGAACAGAGCAAATTAACATTCGGAATAGGATGGGCCACCTGAATAAAACAGTATTACTCCTAAGGTAGGTCTCCAGCCATCGACCCTATACCCAGACACAATCACCAACGACTGACTGAGCTATCCGCATCAAACTTTCATGCCACTGTTTCTTACCAAAAAGACAACGGGTGCCATTATGAGATGTTCTGGGTGAAAGGCATCTCCGGGTCTAGGATCGAGGCGAGGCAGCCATTTCAGTGGCGGAGACCTCTCACCCCAAAACCCAGGGTCACGGGGTGGGGCTTCCTGGGTCGCTGGGGCACTGGCTGTGGGCTCTGGCCCCTCCCATTGCACGGGCCAAGAGGCCCGCTCAGGACGGGGACCCTCCAGGCTTGGTGACTCCCATTGGATGCTTTGGCAATTTCCCTGTGGATCAGGCCACTGTGAGAACCCAGTTTTTGGGACCTGGTCCCCTGAGGAGGGGATAGGAGAGCGCAAGTGACATCACCGGGGACGCATTGCAAGTCGGGAGCAGGAGGGACGTGGGGAGTTGCAACAGCCCGCACCCTGCGGGGAACCCTCCCAGGACCCAAACCTTTCCCTCCTCTGACCCAGGACTTGGAACAAAGGGCAAACGGAATCCACACCCCTTTCCCTTTATCTTTGAGGCGGAGTTTGCCTCCTGGAACGCCTTCCGGCTCCAGTATAAAAGACCAGCTTTTGTGCACAGCTAACGACAAGGTCCCACCGAGATTTGAACTCGGATCGCTGGATTCAGAGTCCAGAGTGCTCACCATTACACCATGGAACCGCCTGTCCGGAGCACTCTCGGTTATTGGCATTTGCAGGTGAATTCTCAGCCTCCAGGGTCACCAGAATTTCCTTCGCAGCTGTTTTCTTCTGGTCACACAGGACCTGAGTACCTTTAACTGCAATAGGAGGAGTCGCCCCAGACGTGCTTCTCTCTGCTCTTCTCTTTCGGTTTCTATCTCAGAGAATGAGATTAAGCACCTCTTGGGATCAGGACCCGGAAGAGCTATATTTACGCCTCCACAAAAGCCGCCAGTTCGCCCGAGTTGCCAGTTTCCTGCCCCGACGTGAAAATTCGGCCGAGCCCCCCACCCGCTGGGGTCTCTTTCTTTTTCTTTGCAACTGACCTCTTCCCTTTGTGCATGGAGCACCGCTGAGCATTTCCAGAACGGGATTGGGAGTATGCGGGGTTTCTGCCCTCCTTCTGCCTTCTCCTCGTCCCCCTTCTCCTCCTCCTGTCATTCCATTTCCAACCCCCCTCCTGCTCCCTGTCTTCCTCGCAGCCCCCCACACCCATTTTCCCAGCCCCTCCAGCTCTCTGTCCATCCTGCCTCCTCCTCCTCCTCCTCCTCCTCCTCCTCCTCCTCCTCCTCCTCCTCCTCTCCCTCTGGCCCCCATTCCTCTTCCTTCTCCAGGCTCCCACCCTCCCCACCACCGACCTCCCACGCAGCCGACACTCACAGGAAAGCCCACCACGGTCGGAGAGGAAGCGGAGGACGACGTTCCTAGTCGGGACATTTGGGGGTCTTCACTGGTGAGTGTGAGTGCAGCGGCGCCGACAGAGGCGATGAGCGTCAGCCAGTCCTCAAGGCCTGGGCAGGACGGCAGATCCAAGGCCACCCACACCTGGGGCGACCCAAAAGCGTCCTGCTCCGGTTCCAGAAGGCGGAACCCAATCGCCGAAGTCCGAGGAGACTGACGGCAGCGGGAGCCATTTTCTTCGCAAGTCCAGTTCCAAGTGGAAGCATCATGGCGTCTCCTTGGAGCCACCACGACGTCAAGACACAGGGATTAGCATCACCCAGGACTCAGCCAGTGCCCTGGACGCCTGGCCAGGGCCTGTGCAGAGACAAGCTGGGCGTGGGGCCCATTTCCCCCAGGCAGAGGCTCCTGGGGGTGTGGGCGCTCACACGAGATTGCCCCGTCCATCCTCCTGAGGCCGTGTGGAGCCTCAGCACTGGGCCCTTGGCCTTCACCCGGGGATGCCACCAGCTCCGGCTGTTCAGGGCTTCCAGTGAGCTCTCCAAGGCTCTGATTTTTGAATCATTCTATTTGGTGCACCAAGAGCTGCCTCCCACCAAGTGAGCAGACCTGAAGGGCCGCCAGATCCAAAGGTGAAATCACAAGGCATTGCCAGCTACATAGGGACAGCGTCTCCTCTCTATTATGATTTAGATTGAAAGGGAAGATGTCATGGTCCCTAAATATCACAGCAGGACCAGGGCAGGGCACCCACGACCTGCAGCGCCCTTGCCCCTGGTTAGGTGTAAGTTATTTTACTTGAGCAGACAAGTGTTCTCTTCTGCATTTTTCCTCAGTGGCTAGATCTGCCTCTCCCGATCTCTCTCTGTCTCTGTCTCTGTCTCTGTCTCTCTCTCTCTCGTCCTGAGCCCCCTCATTCTCTACCCACCTTTATTTTCTCTCTCTCTTTCCACTCTGCCGCCCCACTGCCACCTGCTTTCTCCTGTTCAGCTTTCATGGTTCCCCCCTTGCCTGCCCACTGGCACCCCCACACTAACGCTGCTGCACTGTCCTGGGTGGGGAGATGTGTGTGGTTGTGGCTGGTGCCTGCCAGACATGTCCAGGGTGGGCAAACATGGTGCAGCTGCCCGTATAATGGTTTGAAAGAATGGCCACCTTCTAGAGCCTTTCACATCTCACAATCTGGGATCTTTTGGGACTAGGAAGTTCCGGGCCACAGTGGAATTCTTGTCCTCCAGGGCCGTGTGGGAGATGCCTCCTCTCACTGAGCTGTCGTGGTGTGGCTATGAAGTGCCAGGCCCTGCTCTGGGATACGGATATCACTGTGAGCAAGTCTCAAGTCATGACTCATGGAGTGGGTCTGAAGCCCACCTCTGCAGGCGTCGAGAGGTGTCGGAGAGAAAGGGACACTGCCAGTTTGCGTCCTTCCCAGGTGGCTACTCATTGGGTCCTGGGGAAGTAGGAGCCAGTGCAAGGAGAGAGGCCCAGTGAGAAAGCAGTGAGAAAGCAAATGGACAACATGAGACCTGGGACTGAGGCCCACACCCACGATGGGGTGGCTTCCGAAGCAGGCAAGGGGCAGCGGGGAAGGCCTTGGCCTGGTGTGCTGGTGTCCGGTGCCCCGGCTCCTTCATGTGGATGTCCAAACTTACCCAAAGGCCAGATTCAGTATCTCTGTTCCCAGTGAATTCTGAATGTGTCCTTAGAGGAGAAAGGAGATGTTGGGGAGCAGCTTCTCACCCCATTCTAACTGCATTTGATGTTACAGTATAATTTCTCTGTGCTATAATTAGTTAGCATGTGGCCATGAACGGAAAGGATTAATGATTTAAGCCCATTCCCAGATATTCTAGTCTTTACCTAAGTTCCCTCCCTTCCTTCCTTTCTCCCTCTCTCCCTTTTTTCCTTCCCTTTCTTTCTTTCTTTTTAAAATGGAGTCTCTCTCTGACACCAGGCTGGAGTGCAGTAGCATGATCTCAGCTCACTACAACCTCCACCTCCCTGGTTCCAGAAATTCTTCTGCCTCAGCCTCCCAAGTAGGTGGGACTACAGGACAGCGCCACCATGCCCAGCTAATTTTTGTATTTTTAAGTAGAGACAGGTTTTCAACATATTGGCCTGGCTGGTCTTGAACTCCTGACCTCAGGCGATTTGCCCACCTTGGCCTCCCAAAGTGCTGGGATTACAGGTGTGAGCCACTGCTCCCAGCTTCCCTTTCTTTTTAAATAGACCACTTTGCTCTGAAACCTAAGTTCTTTTTGTGACTTCTAATTCTCTCTCAGAATTTGCTGAAATCTCTGAGGCTACCTTTATCTTTCAGTCAGGGAGCTTATTCTGTAGGCTGCGGCTCCTCCCTGTCTCCTCCTTTGATCTGTGGTTCCAAGTATTTGCCAAGTTCTGCCTTCCAAGCTGGTTTCTCCCTGTCCTTACCAGAACCTGCACTGTCTGCAGTGCTGATGCCACTATGACCTAGCTGATCTGCCCTCTGGATTCCAGGGGCACACCAGGGACAGACATTGAAATCTTCAACTGCTCTGACTCCAGGTTGTGCATCTCAAGGCCCAGTATTAACCACACAATATCAGGATGCCGCCAAAGACTGGATTGGGAGCCTTCACATTCTAATTTAGAAAGCTTTATAGATGTTACTTTATAGAACAGTTCTAGGCTTACAGATGAATTGAGCAGAGACTGTAGAGAGTTCCCATGTGCCTCCCTGTCCTTCAATACACAATTTCCCCCATTAGTGTCTTGCAATAGTGTGGCACATTTGTTACACTGGATAAACCAATATTGATCATTATACTTAACTAAAGTTTATAGTTTACATTAAGGGTTCCATCTTTGATCTTTTTTTCTTTTTTAACAATTCTGTGGGTTTTTAAATTGCACGGTGTCATGAATCCCCAATGCAGTCTCATATGTCATAGTTTCACTGCTGAAAACTCCCTGTGCTTCACGAATCCATCCCTCCTTTCCTCCTTCGCCCTTGGCAACCACTGATCATTTACTGTATCTTTTTGACTTTCTCAGAATGTCCTACCGTTGGAATCATAGGGTATGTAGGTTTTCAGACTGGCTTCTTTCAAGCGTTATCAATTGAACATTCCTTTATGTCTTTTCATTGCTCGATAGCTCATTTCTTTTCATCACTGACTAGCCTTCCAGTGTATGGATACAGCACAATTGTGTTTGTCCATTCGCTTGTGGAGAAGCACATCTTGGTTACTTCTAGTTTTTGCTGAGAATAAGTAAAACTGCTGTAAATATTTGTGTGCAGGTTTTTGAGTGAATGTAAGTTTTCCTCTCATTTGGCTAATCAGACTGCCATTGCGAGATTATATAGCAAGACTATGTTTAGCTTTAAAAAAAACCTCCCAAACTATTTTCCAAAGTGATTGTACTATCTTGCATTTCTACCAACAATCAGAGTTCCTGTCGCTCTGTTTGTGTGACAGCTTTTGAGATTGTCACTTTTTAGATTTTAGCCACTCTAATAGGTGTGATCTGTTACCTCATTGTTTTCACAAGCAATGTTCTGATGACAAATGACTTTGAGTTGCTCTTTCATATACCTATTTGCTGTCTGTGTATCTTTTGGGTGAGGTGTTCAGATCTTTTGCCCACTTTTAAATTGGGTTGTTCACTTTCTTATTATTGAGTTTGAAGAGTTCTTTGTTTATTCTGGACACAAGCACTGTATCAGATCTGTATTTTGCAAGTATTTTCTGCTGATCCTGGGAACCAATGGCCTTTCCAAGGTAGGGAAGGAAGGGGGGCCAGGAAGCTCCAGTCCGGGTGTTGGTGGTCATGGTGCTGTGAGGGGAGGAGGCAGTGGGGTCTCTTCATGCTTCCTCAGGGTCAAGTAGAAATCCAGATGCTCCAGCCCAGTGAGGTGAGCAAGCGCTGTAGTTTCAGATCAGATCTGCTCTCCAGTCCTGGGTTTAACCCGCACTCGTTATTCACCTTGGCCAAGTCATTTGCGGTGCTGGTATTTTCATCTCAGTTCCATCATCTGAGAAACCTGAAAAATCATATCCACGTTCAATCTTTGTTGATAACATTATTATACTTTCCAAAGGGCTAATTCAATAACAATTGCTCAATAAGTATCTGAATAGATGTTACCTAATTCTGTTCTCTTTCTGGTAAATTAGCACTTAGGAAGTGACGTCACATGCATTGTTTCAGGTGAAAAAGAGCAACAGTTAGGATCTCTACTTTCTAGGGACCCCTGTTCCTGTGTTTTCTTAGAAAGTCTTTCACCAGTTTTCTT